GACGGACGGACAGACAGTCACCGCTTAATCGATTTCTCTTTTCATTCTGATCATTTATGTATACATTTGTCTATATCTATCTCGATTCGTTTTGCCTGTTACAAACAACCGTTATGTGAACAAAGTTATAATACCCTTGTGCACAAGTGCGCTCGGGTATAAAAACCGAAATAAAGCATATATGCACAGTTTCGGTTGAAAACAGCAATAATGCATATTAGAAAAACCGAAATTATGCACCTGCACACTTTCGGTTGAAAATCGATATTATGCTTATGCACACTACTATCACTGATATCATTTATTTGTTTACCAACCAACGAGGATATGCTTAATTGTTTTTTCGTAGTTATTATACATTTGCATTATTGGAATTGATTAAATCTTTTTCTTACAAAAATTGAGTGCATGTACGTACAAATAAAGTTGCAATGTTCCACAAGCTAGTCCGAGATGTTTTGATCGATTGTTATCGAAAGTTGAACGCAACTGGCAACAGCACCCTGAAATTGTCCATATGAAAAATGTGCATACGAAATAATGCATATGAAAAAACCGAAATAAAGCATATATGCACAGTTTCGGTTGAAACCCGAAATAATGCATATGAGAAAAACGGAGTAACGTATACATGCACAGTTTCGAGTCAAAACCGAAGTAATGCATGTAAAAATAAAAACGAAGTAATGCATACATGCACAGTCTCGGTTCAAAACCGAAATAATGCATATAACAATTACCGAAATAGTGCATACATGAAAACGAACTTCTTTCTGCGTAGGCCTTCGGCCGCCCTCGGGTATTATAACCCTTACTAAGTAGAATTTTCCTTTCTGTGTTGCCGGAAAAATGAACTGGAAGTATATTTGTGCAAAACTTCTTTCTGCGTAGGTGGCCTTCGGCCGCGCTCAGGGAATATAACCCTTATTAAATAGAACTCTCCTTTCTGTGTTGCCGGAAAAGAAAGTGATCTGGTACGCATACGATGAGAGCAGTAGGGAGTGCAGGTGGCATTACACAATGGGAGCACTGTGGCTAGTCATTTCGGCTGGGCGGGGTTCTTGCCTCACTACTTTTCCCTACGCCATAGCAGAGAAAGGTCACGCCTGTCAAGCATCTTCACTTCCAGCAAGGCCGGAAGTATCGGACGGACCATACAAAAAATATTCAAAAAATTCAAAAAAAAACAGCTGAAAGCTGAAAAAAACGTTAAAATTAAACTTCTGAAATAAAACGGAAAGCAAGGGAAACAAAACTAGAAACTCTGGTGCTGACCCACCCTCAACCATGGTCACCGGCGCACCCTGTTCCCGTTGACTCCATTATTAAAGTCCTACTGCGCCTTATTATATTAATTATTTAATTAATCCCAACGGTTTTCACCCTCCATTCCCGCCCAACCGACAGGCGATGTTGAGCTCGAAATATTTAACGTTTACATACCCCCAGTCACTTACTGCCCGGCAGGATATCACCCTGATATAGGTGCGCTCCTCAGAGGTGAAAACCTTATGGTAGTAGGTGACTTTAATGCGCACCACGATCTTGGGCATTGAAGCCTGTCAAACGATCTTATGGCAACTGGCACGACAATCTCGTGAGCACCCAAATGCTAGACTCAGAAGTAGAAGGGCTCACGAAAGCTTTTCAAAGAGCTACAAAAGCAGCATGTCCCAAAATAAAAAGGAGAAAGCAACGACCACGATGGTGGTCGCATGAAAGAATGAACCTAAGGAAGGAATGCAGGATGAAATTTAATCAAGCGAAAGCGTCTAATGTGCGGAACGAATATAAGGACTGCCAACGCAGATTCAAATATACTGTCAGAGCTGCAAAACGTTCCTCCTGGGAGACATTTGCCAAACGATAGAAAGCAACTCGGAGGCAAATCGTTTACGCAAAATCCTTTCGAAAAACCCAAGCGCGCCTAGCTACCTGCTCATAGGGAATGGTGAATGGACGAGCAGCAGCTCCGAAACGCTTGAGCTCCTCATGCAGATGCACTTTCCTGATTGTTCCGACACCAGAGGATCGAACAATTTACAGATCACTGCCCCAAACGGGGGAATCCATCTTATTACTATTTCTGATGCGGACATCAAGGAAGCTGTTTGCAGCTTCTCGCCCTTCAAGTCACCGGGTCTCGATGGTATCCTACCCATCGATCTTCAGAAAACAATGGATATAGTTATTCCAAAACCAATGGCTATTTATAGAGCGGCCATCAGCCTCGCCTATATACCACAGAGATGGACGCAGGTAAAAGTTGTATTTATCCCCAAAGCGGGTAAATCTTCGCACACCAAACCCAATGAGTTCAGACCAATCAGCCTCTCGTCCTTCTTACTGAAGTCACTAGAGAGC